TATCTACGTGAATCAAAGTCACTTTTCTTTTCATTGCCTCAAGCCTTTCACTCGACTTTTCTACTCTTCCCACCTGAACTGATTACGATCCCATGAATCTGGTGTGCCGCATAGACCGTGACAGAAAGGACAAGAGCGTGAGCATCTTGAAAGCAGACACAAGGAGACATAAATCATGTAACATCAATAATCAGGACTGATGAATATGTATGAGGGCTCTGGCATAACTCAATCAGGTTATGAGGTTTTTAATGGCATGAGGAGGTAAATCATTTGCATCTGTAACAGCGAGCATGTGTGGGATTTGAGTCGTAGAGTTCAGCTGCTTCAGTTCACAGAATATTTAGTAGTGGGAGTGTATACCTGTGTGCGCTCTCAATCATCACTGTGCAGGGAATGTGTTTCTATGAATATGACTTGTTTTCTGCAGTGACAGCCATGTATAGGATCTGTGATTTCCAACCAGAGGTTGGTTGCACACCAGGGGTTACTTCTGCATTAAAAGTAACTGATAAACATTAGAAATTGTTAAGCAGAAGTAATGGAAACACTTGAGATAGTTAGTTAAAATGATTAATACTTGAAATATGTAGCTAAAAGTAATGGATAACAACTGAAATTGTTAAGTAAAAGTAAAGATTAAACTTTAAATGGTTAAGGTTAAACAGTTAAAATAGTTAGCTTTAAGTAATGGACAAACATTTGAAATAGTTAATCATTTCACCTTAATTTTACTTAAGTAAAAGTAATGGATAAACACTTGAAATAGCTAAAAGGACAAAAACTGTTAAATACTTAGCTAAAAGTAAGCTAATTCACTGGTTAAACAGTTGAAATAGCTATAAGTATTAGATTTTTAAAAAATGTAGCTAAAATGAATGATTTACTTTCAGCTAACAATTTCAACCACAAAACTGATTTATAAACAGTTTAATTTGTTAACCAGCTAAAAGAAATGAGGTCGTAGTATAACGAACACAAAAAAAAATATCAACTGAAATGAACGTATGTGGAACATGGTGAAAGATACTTGAGTTCATATGGAGGTACGTTGGACAAAAAAGGGATGGGAACCACTAGGTGCTTTCACTTATACTTTCACAGATGAAGCAGTTGATGCTGTGACCAACTGCTGTAAATGAATGTCAATAGCCATTTACTGTTTTCTACAAGTACAATATGTTGCCTTTTTCCCAAAAGCCTCTCCAACAAAAGTTTTTACTATGCGTCAGAAGGAAAGTATCCGGAGAGGTGAATAAATGGCCTTAAACTGGGGTTTTCTCATGTCATGTAAGACATGATTTTGTGCTGAGGGCCAGAGTATTTCAGTAGAGGTCCTGAGGTGTTTAAATTACACCACCTGCAAGGCTTTCCACAGACTGACTCATTCCAATTATCACTGTCCTCTCTTCTTAACATCTCCTGCGCTCTGAACGGCTGAACACAATAGCGATGTACTGAATCACAGGTACGGTGGCTTCACCCTTTGGGAAGTTTCAGTTTATTGGGGTGATTTGATGCTGTTTTTTATTTTCTGGCTAAACCTAACACAGCACATATGGTGCTACATATTCTGCATTTTGTAAGAAATATAAATATTAGCATGCTCTTCTGTTTCTTCAGATTTACATAAGAGCTGAGGCTGAATACTTCCTGATTTAGACTGATTCTGTGCTGTTCCTGCTGTTCTTTTGGTCTGTGCAAAATCCTCTCCACATGAAGGCAGAGGAAACAATTAAGTCGTTACTTAGCAAACATTCAGGATTTTCATGCTTCATCAAAATTCTCACTAATTATTCTGGGTTTTTTATGAACCCTCACAGTCCACCCTTTTATGTAAAGCTGTGACTCCACAGGAGGTGTTATTTTTTTTAAGAGCTTGTGAGTCGACAGAAAAAAAGAAAAAAAAACATTATACAATAGCAAGACAAAGCCTGTGAATTGTTTTCTTCAGCTCAAAATGAACTGCAAGGTTATTGTAGAAGTGTGTGTGTGTGTGTGTGTGTGTGTGTGTGTGTGTGTGTGTGTGTGTGTGTGTGTGTGTGTGTGTGTGTGTGTGTGTGTGTGTGTGTGTGTGTATCATCAGACAATAACACCATATTTTTTAAAGAACTATTTTGTATTGTTTTTCTTCTCTTTCATAGGTCTCAGGAAGCCTCAGTTGAGTTTCTTTGGATCATTTAAAATGCAAAGAGTACTGGACAATAATCACCACAGCTTCTGAATGGAAGGGGACCATCTCCTGACTTTATACACACAGCACAACTATCGGTGGTCACCACATAAAGAAGACCACTGACATTTGCATGTGAAGACTTTATTAAGTCTGCTCACATTTGTATTTTCATAAAGGATGTTCGCAACATGAGAATGGCAGGACGCATAAGTAGAAATGTGATCTGCCTTTAATGTATTGCATTTGGGTAATTTCATGCACCCATTATCAGAGTTGACAACAGTTGTGTTTTCCTGATATTCAACGAGTAGTGTCTTATTATGTTCTGCTGTAAACTCATATATCAGACTGCAGCTCATCCTTACTTACAGTGCTTGTGCTTGACAATCATCTCCCAACCATCAGCTGCTAAAACATATACTTTATATTCTGTAAAGTGGTCTGAAAAGATAAAAAGGAAATCTGGGATTCTGAATGAAAAGCAGCCTTTCCACCAACATCCAGTCAGATGCTCTTTTTTGTGAGATAAAATCTGAGAAAATGAGATCAGGAAAAGGAGCCATTTAGAAAATTTACAATGGGATGCATTAGATAGCTTCTTCTTTAAAAAAATATATATATTGAAAAAATACAGCTGAGCTTCTTAACTTCAAGAGACATCAATGCACACAAAAAAGGACTGTGTTTGATTTGAGTTTCCCTCTTGCAGATATCAGGCTGTATATTTGATCTAATTGCTCATTAGGGACTATTAATGGCATGTCAAAAGATAGAATAGTTTTCAGTTGTTCCTTTTCCATGGAGTATCAAAGTCTCATCATCATGATTATATTTAAAAGATGATCTAACAAAATAAGACTTCTTTTGAATAATCTTTAGCTTTCATTAGCAATAATATTGTTGATTTTCAGTCGAGACGCTCAGAGCTGTTAGTATCAGTGACACAAGTGGTGCTGTATGGACAATATTTAAAGGACCTATATTGTAGAAAATGAGATACCAATGTCTTTTTTGATGATAAAATAGGTCTAGATGCTGTATAAATACTGTGAAAGAATCAAAGTGCTTGATGCACGAAGAAATGCACACAGCCTGTATTCAGAAACTGTGCCTTAAAACTGTGCCGTTGGGACTTCCGTAACTTTGTGATGTCACCACCCTCAGCCATGCACCTGCATGGCCCACCTGGACCTACCATCCGACCTTGCAGGATTTGGTTTCTGCCATATTCTTATTCAATCTCTATTAAGGACTCTTATTAATGGTAATTATTATTTCACTTAACATCACAGCTGGTCTCTTGTCTGTAGTCTCAATCAAACATTTAAAACTGTCTGACAGCTACAGAAGGGTAGACTGTCCCTTCTCCTTCTCCTACTAATCCACTTGCCATATTCCACTCTTGCTGTCCTAGCTGTCTGATCACCCACCTCACTGATGTTTCCAATGGTCTTGGATTCTGTGGCCACGCACACTCCCCTGGCTGGTGTCGATGTCCACTGGCACTGTACTGGTCTGCCCGCAGGGTCTAGCAGCTGAGGAAAGTCTGTTTGTCCGGCTTATTTCAGCACTGACCGACCATCGCCATTTGCATCACTGGTGAGTTTTACCAAGCTACTATAGTAGGCTACAATCCACTACCTGTGGCTCCAGAGAGAAACCTACTTGAAACCACAAATATATCTTCCTATGGATATCAAAACGTAAATTGTGAATTGTTTTGTGACAAGTGCAAGAGACAGAAGTACATTATCTTGCAGTAATGCATGTGAAACATTTGCATACATTAAGTAATAGCTACAGTTTGAAAAATGTAGCTATCGCTATGAGCAGATTTTAAATCTTAACTAGTAATGTTGTTTTATCTTGGCGGGTGGTGGTGTAATAGGGTCAAAAGCTGCCTCTCCGGTTTATTCATTCTAATATTTTTTATATATCCTAATGAACAGCACAGATTATGCTTTTTTATTCTATCAACATCTAAAAGTTGACATTTAAACAATGCTTCAGATTTTGCATATTGTGTTCTGTTCATCAAATGTCACAGCTGCAGCAGAAAGTGATAAAAACGTTTTGCAGCTCAAGGCCAAAATGAATGACAGAAACACATTATTCACCCATTATCATAGAAACTCTTCATGTTCCTATTTTATTACTCAACCATGGTGATTAAATTGAGAGTGAAAGATGTTTTCAATAAACCCTTTTATTGAGTGTATTTCAGGAAAATAGATCTAATATTACACTTGTAATACACACATACAATTAATCAAAGTGGACAAGAATGACAAATAAACATATTAAACTTTCATAGAGCACATTTTATATACATAAATGTCTTAAATTTGATGTGGAAAATTTCACATGCACAAGATTATGAATACGTACAAGAATCAGATGGAAAAACTAAATTTCATTGTGTTTTATCTGCAAGGATAAGCGCAAAATCACTGTCTGAAGTATATTTTTAAACTCACGTTATCATATTTTTCAGTGCTACATGGACTTTCAGTACATAAACATCCATACATGAAAAGTAAAAAAGTCATTACACAAATAAATCCTTTAAATCAAAACAGGCTGATGTTTTTACATCTGTATAAATTCAATGATCGAGACAGTGTGTAATTTTTGTTTAATGAAAGCCAACTCCACTGTGTGAGTTGTTTGAATTTCACTGTACTTTAAATGGATTCTCTTTTCACTGCATTTATCAGTATGAAGGCTGACAAGATTCATATTAAATCTGAAGATGATTTCTGATGCAGAGATTAACATTCACCGTTGGGTAAAATTCTTGTGTCTGTTCATCTATATCAACAACTTAAGCGTAATTGTCTTGAAGAACCATGTTATTTGCAGCAGCACCTGGAAAATCTGCCACAATGGTGGAGTTGTGAAGACGTGGCATTCTATGAGACATTGTCAGGATGCTTGACACTCGACCCTGGTCCTTTCCTTTTCCTCTTCTCCGGGACAGGATGTGGCGACACAGGTAGGACAGGAACTTGTCATGTAATGAGGCGTAAATAAAAGGGTTGTAGCAAGCAGAGCTCATGGCAAACAGGTGACTCGACACCTGGATGACATTAATGTAATTCTTCCCCAAGATGGAGAAGTCTGTGTCAAGGTCACGGATCAGATTCACCACCTGCAAAGGTAAACTATGTTATCTGAGGTATTCATTCAAGGTACTTCATTTGATAATCAATTCAAGAATTAATTCCTTTAGGAATTTGTTATTTTGAAGCAATAGTTTGACTTTTTTGGAAGTATTATTATTCTCTTGCTGTGTAAATTAGGAATCCCAAATGTTTGGTTCAGTTCAGTTCGGTTCAAACATTTGTAGTCACTGACTATGTAGCTTGTTGCTTTTTTTCCTGAGCTTAAAGTTTGCATCACCATTCAAAATGACTTCAGTATGTACATTAGTAAATAAACAAATCACTGTTCATACTCCCACAGCATTATTCTGTCTTCATTTCAGCATTATGTTTAGCCTGTTGCTGGTTCAAGCTGTTGATTACATTTCATTCACTACTAAACTAGGCCTATACAAACAGTGTTTATACGTTAAATAGATCAGCAAGCAACTATTTGCGACAGTTAATTATCAGAGTATGATTTTTTTCTGTGGCTTTCGCTGCCTTTTAATAAGCATTCAAGAACGAACTGAGCAGCTGATTAGCAGAGCTTAGGAAGACTGGGAATGGAAAGAGCTAGCCTCGTTCTGTCGAAAGGAAGCACAATCCATCTAACAGCATTTCTAAAACACACATTATATCCTGTTGGCTTAATATATGCAAAAAAGGAAGTGTATAACAGACGTGTAGTGGTTTTATGAGGGTTCTTGGAGTCTCCACTGGTTGCCTGGCAACATCATTTACATTACAAGTCACTGTGCAATCAAGAACAACCGAAGATATAACATGTTCATTTGTGAGCTTCAGAGGCGCTGGTAGATGGATTTTGTTACCTTTGGACACAGCCTGGCTAGCTTTTTCCCCCTGTTTGAAGTGTTTATGCTAAGCTAAGCTAACTTGCCACTGGATGTAGCAGTCAAGAGTGGTATCAATCTTTTAGACTCACTCTTGGCAAGAAATTGAGTTGGCATACTGTATGTCTAACTATCCCTTATGTATCCATCAAACTATAAATCTCCCATTTCACACCTGTACCTGTAAGGGGAGCCATGAAAAGGCAAAACAGAGGACGGACACCAGCAGCAGGCAGAAAGTCTTTCTCCTCCGTCTGCTCCAGGTGGCCCTCGCAGATCTCAGCTCTGGACATGCGGTCAAACCAGATGTGGTCCTCTGCTTCAACTGATAGGATATAGCACAGTAGGAAATGGAGACAGCAGCCAGAGGGACAAAGTAGGAGAAGAAGAGAATGAAACAGGAGTAGATGAGGCGACCTCGCTCCTGGCCATCCCAGAACTCCTCACACACGGCCATCTGCAGGCCTGCAGCCCGCAGGTCCAAGTAGACAGTGTGCAGCGCTGTAGGTGCGGATAAAGCCAGAGAAGACAGCCAGATTAGGACCACCAGAGCCCAGCAAAACTGGCAACCAGCTCTCTTGCGAATGGGATAAGCCACAACAACGTAACGATCGACTGCAATGGCCATGAGGGACAGGACCGCTGCGTAGACAGCTGCAGACTGCATTACAGTGACAAAATGACACATGTGGGGTCCAAATACCCAACCACGCTTGTCAAAAGCGTAGGATGCCGTCAAAGGGACACAGAAGATGGACATGACCAGGTCGACGAGCGCCAGGTTGCTAATGAGGAAGTTTGTGGTGTTGTGTCTTTTCTTGTTGTGCCAGATGAGAAAGAGCAGTAGGAGGTTCCCAGAGCAGGCGATTAGGACCACAGCAGAGTAGAGAGGGATGAAGAGGAGCTTGAGGTTAAACAGGAGGTCCAGGCCAGAAAAGGAAGAAGCTGAGAATGGGGAGGTCAAGAAGAAGGGGCGAGAAGAGTTGCAGCAAGAGGAGGAAAAGGAGGATGAAGAGTCAGACATGGCTGGGGATGAAGAAGGAAAAGCTGGAGTAGAAGAGTTCACCCTGGATGGGTTCAGTGACTTCTCCCAGTCCATAGCTGCGGAAGCCAGAATGAAAAACAATTTATTATGAGATCACATCAAATAACCTGCTGCATGTTTTGCATGTAACGTACCTGATTTACCATCATAATTGCCAACACATATTTATTGAACATTTTTGATTGAGCCCAAAGTGGTTTTGACATGATGATAAGATATAGAGACTGAGGAGATGACTCACATTTGGACAGACTAATTAGTAACTGTCTTCAAAACTCTCAGTCAATCAATGTCATTAAAAAGCTGGAGCAGGGCTTGTACTGCAAGTCTGCCTCAACAATAATACATCCATTTACTTTCATCTGGCTCACCTTTACAACATCTTCTCCTCCTCTCCTCTTCTCCTCTTCACTCGACACTTCTTACCTCTTATTTTTCTCTACCTCTCCAAATCCTTTCCATCTCATCAATGACACACTTTTGCTTTGTTTTTTTGTAACCAGCCAGCAGTCATTCATCCAATCCACATGAGCTTCACTTCGGTGCTTTTTTTCCTCTCTCAGTTCTTTATAGTCAAACTGATACTTGAAGATTGTCATCCTGAACATCTGCTAATACTTCTGCATGTAATCTACACTGACGTCAATTCCACATTTTGCACAGAGGCTTAGAAAATATGTATTTCTCACGGCTGTGGGTTAGGAGATTAGGTTCATTAACAAACAAAACAGCAATGAAGAGAGCCGTGAGAGCACGCGAATGGCTTCTCTACTTAAATTTGCAAGATAATATAAGGACGATAGAAAGCATGTTCATTTTGTCAGTATCATTCATAAAAAAAATAATAAATCACACCGTATCTACGAAACTAACAAAAATAAACAACAAAAGGAAAACAATCAGTATGTACAGGACAGATTTTGTCAAACTCCAAATAGTGCAAAATGATATGTGGAAGCTGCTTCATTACACTGTTAACTGTAAATGAAAAACTGTCACTGGCCTACTGTAAAGAGTAAGTGCTTATTAATTACCCACTTAGGCTGAGCAAGACCTGCTGACCACAGCATTTGTCATGATGTTAGTTTTCATACTAAATTATATGAATTTTCCAAGAAAGATTGGTTAAATCATCTCCAGTAAAGACTCAAAAAAAGGGATTCTCTTCTTATGGTGAATAAGCTCATTACCTTATTGATGTGACCTGATAAGTGATTCACACAACTATGATCTAGCTCCTAAGACATAAAGACATTAAAAAAAAAATGATATTGATAAATCCCCCAATCTTAAACTTAAAAATAAATAAAAACAGTTTTCTCTCTAAAGAATTTCATGCAAAACTGTCAATTGCCGGTGTATGAAATTTCAGAAAGTACAAATTAAAAGAAAAAGTACCTCTTCGAGACGTCAGATGTCACTCAGATTTTGGTAACTTGTCAGACGGACAGTACAGCACCGGTTTGTGTCCTCCGTCAGCCTCTCCTCTTCACTGCAGCCCGCTCTGATCCAGAATAAAGAGGTGTGCTCATTCTGTCTCTCTCATCATACAGCATACAGTGCGTGTTCATGAGAGTGAGTCACATAGCTTGTCTGTCAACTCAGTCTCACTCAATTATCACCCCCAATGAACAATCATTTTAATCTCCAATGATATTCCTCTTGGGAACTATGGTGGCTCCCTGGTAATAAATAGTGAATTTATAATGACCTTGCCCTGTTTTATGGCACTTTTTTATCTGCCATGGAATCACTATAATTTTCCTGTTGGGACTTATAATGTGTCTGAGGTTTTATGTAGTCAATTTATAGTGACTCTGAGACATTTTATGATATTATTTCTCCTACACTGTCACTTGTTATCCCAGTTGTATCTCAAAACAGACATCTCAACAGATGATCAGAATAAGGAGAAAAAAACAAATCTTGAACAGCCTGTGTCCTCATCTTCTCTGCATTATTTTGAATGCTGAATGGCACACATCCTGCTGTGTGGTTTTTCACACTGTGGCCACTTTTTTTAACAAACACACCCCAGAAACCAACAGGAGAGAGTAGAACAAAAATTGAGCAATTAAGGGACAAACCACGATCTTTCTCCGGAAGTATACATCTTACATATTCATAAAACTAAACCTAATTTAATGATTGTGAGTCTTACTGCCAGAGCTGCCCAAAACCAGTGTGACTGTGTGATTCATCAAGTGAGGGGCAAAGGGCGATCCAGGAAATAAATTCATTAGCACAGGACTACTTGAAGGGAACAGAGGGCTGATCGTGAAGGTAATGAAGATGTCCATGAACCGGTGGACATGGGAAATATTTATCATTGTTTTATCATAGTTCAGGTTTTCCTGCCAATGCGATAAACTGTTGCATTTCACATCAGTTTCAACCTTTGGGGTCTTTTTTTTTTTTCCTTCTACTGATGCCTTAGATTTCTTAATATTTAAAAATGTGTGTAAATTCAGCACTGTAAGATACAGACAAGCAATTGATATCAGAAGAACAGGCTTCACATTTGCATTCTTTACGATAGAGTCTGTACAGAGAAAAACAGAACTATTTTTGTCTCACTTTTTTTTTTTGTCCATATTCATTTCTGGGTGTGATTTTTATTCTTGCCACACGTCAAAACAGTTTTCGTTCAAGATAATGCAGACATCACACATATTGAATTACTATGACGAGGTCTGCTGGACCTGCCTGGTCTGCCTGCCGAGCACACAGCCTCTCCTTCCAGTGGACGCTTTTTTCCTTGGATCGATCTGGACACTGATGGGGACAGAATTGTGAGAGCTGCGAGCGCCTCCAAGAAAGCCAGGAGGGTCGTGGGCTGTTCTCTCCTCTCTCTTTAGCGAGTCTCTCGTGACGGATGTAGATGTCTGTCTTTGCAATATACACAAAGTGAGAAATGAGTGGTACCACCTCATGGTGGACGCTGATGTGTTAAATCCACACCTCCCATGTGTTTGTTGTGGAGCATAGGACAGCCACAGTGCCACTGGAATATGCCATATGAAGTGGAGCAGGCAGCAGTGTGTCAGCAATGTGTCTGTTCCACTTCATGTGACATGGACACATCCATTTGACAAACACAAGTGGCCCCAAAGGTCATGGCAGGCTTTACTAGGGAAGTTGTTGAGTTATGAGCCAGTCGAACCCCTGAAGGAAAAGCCTTAACACATTAAAGTCAGATGTGTCATCGCTGCTACTGTGTCCCGACACAAAAAGCTCAAAGCCCCATTTGGTTGGTTTTTCCTTTCATGTTACTGCTCATATCTTGTCTGGGCCTTGGCGCTTTGTCCTGGGTGGAAATGGGTTTTGCAACTGTCTTTGATATGATGAAGCAGGAGCCCCAGGTGGAAAAGATGTTCATTGATGGTACCTAATTTTTTGTCACTTTCCGTCATTTTCCGAAAGTGAAAGTTCATGGATATCACCTGTGATGGGCCATCAAAGTGGTAAGAATCGCAGGAGATTTGATTTGTTTTCTGTCTTCAGTATTTGCAGATGTCTCCCAGTTTCAGGAGTGCAGTGTAGAAAATGAGGATACACTAAGTTTTAACTGTTACTTCAGTGAAAAACAGCTTGGACGGGTCGAATGGGCTGTAGCTGCTGCTGGGATTGAGTTTATATCCTAGGGACTTCACTGGGATGAGTTTTTTTGGTGGTGGAGGAGTATCATCATCCATTTCTGTTCTCCAGGAGTCTGCTTGCTGCAGCCTTAAGCTACACTGATGTAGCAGCTGTGACTGTATCCCTTAATGATCCAATGTGTTTCCAGAATTCATTATTGTAATTTCCTTGCAAAGGAATCAGTCCTAGTCTTCTCATTAAATGATAAATATACACTTTAAGCTTTTGGAAACTCTATAAATATAAAAAAAAAGGAAGATGAAAATGACTTCTAAGAGGTTGGTTTGTGTTGATACTATAATATTCTATTATAATTTAAGGTTAAATATTTTTTCTTTTTTTCCCAGCAATGACATTCAGTGTTAAATGGTTGATCTGACTGTTTGTATCAGGGGACATCACAGGCGCATATTTTTATTAACACCTTTCAGAGAAGGAAATTACATTTTAATCAAGGATGGGTGCCAATCAATTTTTAATTTCCTGCCATTCGGGATGTCACACTTTCTGTCATCCCAATCCAACCTGTTACCACAAGGCAGGACTCTGTGACACCTCGAGTGTTGGCAAGTCACTAACTATTCTTACTGAGGCGGTAACTGTAATGAGGATTCTCTGGAATATGTTAAAAGGAGTCCACTTTATTATGTCAAGATAACTGGCAGAATATGTTCTCCACTTGAAAGGGAAATGACAAACACTGTTGTAGTTTTACTGCATTCAGTAGCTTTCACACTTTCAGCCTTCTGGGGCCTAAAAGACAGACAGCGAGCTAATCAGGGCGTCCCTGAGGTTTTCATGTCAAGGACTCCATTGAAATTGATTCATAGAAATGAAGCCATGGCTGCTGTTATTCAAATGAACACTATGTGAGAAAGTTTCCCCATGCTGAATTGATTAAATTCAGAATTACACTAAATTTATAAGTTACATCCAGCTAAAACTATTGCCGTCTTATGCAACGACTCTGCAATTAATTTTACCTTCACTAATGTTATGATGTTTTAGGTTACCTTCTTTTTGTTGAGACTGTGTCAGAGAGGTGTGGATTCAGCTTTGTGTTAATTTTGGAGGTTTTAGTTTGGGGAGCTGTTGAACTGAGAAGTGTGATTAATGTTTTGACCATCCTTTTTATATCAGTGAAGGGAAACTCTACACACCATGTGAGATTTCAGTGAGGGACGGGAAATTCCCACTGTCATTCCCATTTTCGTACTACCAATATTTTCAACCAAGTGTTTATGACATTAAATATTAAAACAAATGTTTCCTTCTTTCTCACAGATTTCCTTCAAAGGACCGCTCACAATTGACTTTGACTTGTAAAATCTGGTTCTTTGCTGCCACCTAAAGATACTATAGTCAGAAAGATACACAAAAGCTACACTTCCTACCCTTTCTCTTGTTCTCTTTCA